TTAGTTGTGAAGTTAAAATTTAATAATGGAACTCTTCAATGTCAAAGTTTAATAATCCCTCTGCTGGTGGTCAGAGTTTTCTCCCTGCAGCCTCAACCTTAGAACTATGATGAACCCCAAACCTTCTGAGAATGTTCAATGAATTGCTTCAAAGTTTCATATTTCAGAATTTCAGGATAAAGGACTTCTCTTGGCTTTTCAGGGCACGAGTGATATATTGTTAATCATTAGCCCTGACACAGCACTGGTATAAAAACAAAACAAAATAGTAATATCAGCGTTAAGGGCTTAGGTAGCAAAAAACAAATGAATTAAGTGAATTTGAATGATGCTTTTATTTGAAGATCTTCAAAGAAGGTTGGTCCCCTTCCAGATGATTTTTGCTTCCATTTCTTTAATTAAAAATGTCTGTTGTGTGCTGGCGGCCCAGGGTATTGTGGGAGGCTGAACTAAGGCAGAGATGGCACTTAGAGACTCTCATCAGAGAGGGGGTCACAGAAGGGGAATGCATAAAATTAAAATGACCCATTAAAATGACACTCAGCAAATGTACATTGGATTGAATTAATGTCTGAGGTGGTAAAGTTCTCAGAGGGCAGGCAAGAGGGCAAAATTCTCAATGACTTGATGTTCTGAGGCCCGTGGTCAGTGGGTTCCAGCAAAGGACTGGTTCTAGCCTGTCTCCCGGCAGGCCTCAGTTCTATCAGCATGTGGGAATACTTGGCCATTCTGTAACTGCAGCAGTAGCCCACGCTATGGGGACTCGGGGCTTCCAGTTCAGGAAAGGGTCACGCAGAGTGCCTTTCCTTCAAAGGGAAGAGAGGTTGCTGGGGATGTAAATCATTTAATTAAAAATTTAACTTATTCTTTGACAGTTTCATGCGCATAGTGTGTTTTGCTCGCACCCCCTTTCTTCCTCTCTTAACCCCTGCTACGCCCCGGAACCTTCTCAGCACATCCTTCCTACTCACTAAGTAGAACTTTCCTGGGGGACAGAGATGGAGATGGAAGGAGGCAGGACACAGGTAGAGACCTTGCTTGCTGATACCTTGCAGCCCTATGGGAAGTCCTCACATACATGAAGCTTGAGAGCCACTGGTCTGGGCAAATCCTGCCACTTCACACATGGAAGTCCCACACTTCAGAGACCAAGCCTGGAATCACCCTGTATCATAACACTCCGTCCTATCATTTCTCACAATTTCACTGAAATAACAAGACCCAGTCACTTTCTATAACTTGAGCAGATTCCAAACGTCTCATCTTATTACAGCTTCTGGATTAATTCGCTTGCTGTGCCATGGGTGAAAACTTTCTCTCTAAGGCAGAGAGACTAAGACCATGCTAGAACGACACCAAGAGGCTTGGGAAAGGAATGCTTTACAGGGAGGGACACTGGCAAGTAGTGTCAACAAATGCGGCTCCTGGTTAGAAAAGGGTTTAAGAAACGAGCCAGTTGTGAAGGCGGCAGCTGAAAACAGCAATCTTGGAAACTGGTCCGATGATCTGAGGACTGTGAAGTTTGCGGTTCTGGCAGCTACAATTGCCTGAGAACTGCAGGCTACAGGAAGTGTAGCTCAGGAGGCAGTAAGAACAGAAACAGCCCCAGAGGTGACCCTCCACGGAAGCCTGGGAGCAGAAGAGGGTGTAGTTTGAAGGGTAAAACAGAACGGAAAAACAGTGTTTGGGGCAGACCTGGACAGCTAGGAATAACCAAGGGTCTGCTTCCTCTTTTCCTCTCTCCCTCCCTTCCCCAGATGGTCCTAGAAGAGGGATCAAGGAAGTATGCTCAGAAAGTACAAGTGCCCTCTGGCGGCCCAATTAGCACTATAATCTCATACACCTAGGACGCGTCAGGAAAGGAGGTAGCTAAATTAATTCTGGGCTTTAATCTGTTTCTAAGATATGGGTTTCAAGGCATTAAGAGCCACAGTCCAGGTTCTGATGGAGGACCAGCACACCCATCTATAACTTAGCTGTGACTACAGCTTTAAAGTCACCCACTGGATTTCCAAGTAGAAGCCTGCATCAGATCACTGAGCATGCAGAGTCAGCCCCCCTGACAGAAACAAGTGGATCAGTGAGTAGTCAGGATTCTCTGCAGTCCA